CCCTGTAATACAGTTCCTCATGTTGTGGTGACCCCAAACCAAAAATTTTTTTTGTCTCGCAGTCTCTCTTGCCTCTCCGCCTCCTAGGCTTCTGTCCTCCAGCGCTTGCTGCGTCCGCCCGCTGATGACGTCAGCAAGCGCCGGACACATGTAATGCGCTGCTATGGACTGTGGAGCATCCCCCCGCTTCCCCCACCCCTTAGGCTCCGGACGGATGATGCGCGACTTCTCAGCGGCTAAAGCCATCAGAAATATATATTTTCCGATGGCTTTAGGCGACCCCTGTGTTTTGGTCATTCGACCCCCGCCAGGGTCGCAACCCACAGGTTAAGAACTGCTGCTCTAACTGCTGAATGGCATTTAGTAATATTTGTGTTTCCTACCTTGGGACTAAATCCAATTTTAGTCCCAACTAGGGTAGATCCATAAAAATGAATGAAACTTGTTACCTGCCACTTATTTAAGTTCCATTTAGTTATCTGCTCTAGCTGGGACTAAAATTGGATTCAACCCTGGTGTATATGGCTGGGATCCTGATAGTAACATATGCAGGTATAAGCCTACCTTACGCCAGCATATATCATCCTCTGCTAATTTTGGAAGTTAATATTCTCTCCCATCATCTATAATGACCAAAGCCCCCATCGCCATCTTACTATTCAGCCACTGCAGACCCTCCCAACACCCATTCAGTGAGTGATGGAGCTCATAGGGGTACTGGAGAAGTGACTGGCTATAGGTGACATTATCTGCTGAGCCCAGGAGGACTCTGGTAGATTTCAGCAGAAGTCATCGGTCTGTGTCTGGTTACATGGACATAGCCAGAGATTTGTCTGATTCCCTCCTTCCATTGCTCTCCATTAGCCACCAAATGGGCTCTCAGCAGATAACAGAAGGGCTAAAGCAGCTAAATGGTGAATCTGTGGCATTTGAGAGAAAACATGTAGTGTACTTCCTCCTGTAGAAGCTTTACACCAGGGGTCAGCAACCTATGGCCCGCAGGCCAGCCCTGGCCCCGCAAGGCCTTTGGACCGGCCCCAGCCCAGTCCTGCCACCACCGCTGCCCCCCGCTGCCCCCGTGCGAGTTGCGGCCGGCATTTTGTTTTCCAAAATGGCAGCTGCGACTCGTTCGCACATGCGCCAGAGTACTGCGCATGTGCAAACGAGTCACAGCCACCATTTTGGAAAATGAAATAGCGGCCACAACTCGCTCGCACATGCACCGGAATACTGTTCATGTGCAAACGAGTCGCGGCCGCCATTTTGGAAAACAAAATGGCAGCCGCGACTCGCTTGCGCATGCCCAGTACGCTGGAAGTACTGCGCATGGGCGAGTGTGCGTGTGCAGCGCCATTCTCCCCCCCTCGGCCCACGGAAGAGCTCCGGACCAGTGGACCAGCCCAAGGTAGGTAAAAGTTGCCTACCCCTGCTTTACACTATGCTCTACCATACAGGATTGCAACATTTGTATTTTTTCTGCATGAAATACACTTTTGGCTAACATTAAATTAAAAAGCATCAGCAAAATGAATATGTAAGAATTATATAAATAGCACTGAAATTACCAAACAAAATTGTGGGGTGGGATGGGGAATCACATAAAAAGTAGAAGAAAGGCTGACTAAAACAAAAGCTTCTTTTAAAAAGCAACAGAAAACTGTAGAGAATTGAATCTTCCAGGGAACAGAATTACACATGAACTACTGCAACAAGAACGGTCCTTTCTCTTGTTCTCTTTAACATGCTTTAGAGGAAAACAGGACATAACAAATGGGCTCTCCCAGTTCACATAGTGGCATGCCAGGGTTATATGAAAGTAGGAAAAGGTGGACTTGCAGCCCAAGACCTGCATTTTGAAAAAAAACAACAACTGTAGTTTCTGTACACTCAGCAAAGGCAGCTCCAGCAAAGCATTTCGTTAATTCATTATAAGGTGTAATTAAAGTGTGTGTGAGTGTGGCCTTTCCCTTCCCATTCTTGTCTGGAAAATCCCATATTTTTTACCTGTGGCCAAGTCTTGTTCCTTGTGTCCTGAAAAGACACCAAGTGCCCAGGAATTTGGGGCAAGGTCCAAGCTTTCCCCCACCCTCTTTAGATCCCTCCAAGGACTACATGTCCCTCACTTGGGACCTTATCCCACGGGGCCAAAAGCAGCAAGAATCCACATGGAATCAGGCGCTAAAGCGCTATAGTTTTCCGGGTGATCCCACGACGTCGCTCGGAATCCGCTAAGAATCAGGCGCTATAGCGCTATAGTTTTCCGGGTGATCCCACAACGTCGCTCAGAATCCAACAAGAAACCGCTCGGAATGCAGCATCATTCGGGTTCTTTTGAATGCCTGGTTTCATCGGGCATTGCAATAGCGCTACCTTATCCATAGCGCTATTATAGCGCTAGCGCCATATTATACTAGCGCTATAGTACTGCAATGATGCTCATATCGGTTTCTTGCCACTTTTGAGAGCAGCGTGGGATAAGGTCCATGGACAGCTGGGACACAGGCAGGAAGGAGGGCTTGTCAGAAACAGTGTCCTGCTGTAAGGGGAGAGCATAGTAGGGTGTGCACATGGGGAGAGATGATGCACTTTATTTCTTGCTAAGTATTTTGGAGTTAAGGGAAGGATACATGGAAACCAAAGTGTGCAGACCATGCCCATAGCCATGTATGTGCCCATGTATGCAAAGAGGTTTTCTAGAAAAGGGGTTTTACATTTTTGGAAGAATGACTGAGTTTCCTGTTCTGGTCAAGTTGTTGTTGTTGTTTTTAACTAAAGTGGAGTTTTTCTAGACTGGCCTGTTCAGACCAAGGATGTGCACCATCTGAGATGTTCAGACATGCTTCTTCTGTGGGTTTATCATAGGCAGTGCACATAACAGAATGATGTTTCCAAGATTCAAGCTTCTTGTCACCTTGCAATTGCTGGTAGGATATCCTGGATTTCTGGAATACGTTTTTTCCACATTCCTTTTTGTTTTACACCTGAAAGCATTTTCATTCTGCTGACTACTTGCACCTTTCATTTTATGATACTGTGCAAACAGTGATGGATGCATCCCATTGGCATTTACTGCTGCTTTAGTTGCTGCTTTCTGCTGCTGAATCTGACTAGAATCCAAAACACACTGCAGAAATCATCCAGTTTGAGACCCCTTTAATTTCCCTGGTTCAATGCTAGGGAATGCTGGAAATTGTAGTTTATTGTGGCACCAGAGCTCTCTGACAGAGAAGGCTAAATGTCTCACAAAACTACAGTTCCCAGAATTCCCTAGCATTGAGCCAGGGTAATTAAAGCTGTCTCAAACTGAATGATTTCTGCAGTGTGTTTTGGACCTAGCTCCACTTTCTGATTGAATTAGAATTTATTGCTGATATGCCTCTTGCTCTGCCTTTCCTGCATCTGTGGTGGCAAATCCCTTTTGTGGAACAGCAGGCTGATTCTCAGCTAGCATTGTGTACTAGTTGCCCCCACATGTGGCAGCAAGTGGCAGCTCATCCCTGGACCATGTCCCATCTATGTATAACTATGGCAGACCCCATCTGATTTCCACCTCCCTTCCCCTTCTCCACACTTCCCCTGCCATGTTCTGCTGTCTCATTCACACCTCATTGGGCTCCCTGGACATTGATGCTCAAGAAACAGCTGGGAAACTTTGGAGCCATAGTCAGGAGGCAGAGATGCTTAGCATTCTATTGGATGCTGTAGCAGAGACAAGAGCACCCCAAAAGGACAAAACAGGCAGCAGTGGGATCAATCACATAGCAGGAAATCAAGTTCTTGGTTCTCCTAGAAGGAACTCATGTTGGCATGATGGAAGGTAATATAAAGTATTTGGGGTGACATTATCATTCAGCTTCTTATCCACTTAGTTATTGTTGTCACCAGATGGTCTGGTCACTGCCCATTGGCCTCATAAATGGTTCCTATGAAGATGGCTGTGATGATGTCAAGAGAAAGGGAGAGCAGCAGGAGGATGCAGCATGTGGTCCCCGGAGGGAATGCAACCTTGGCTGGCTCAATGGGATCACATGTTATTGAGTTCAAGTAAAAAAAACTTCACACTTAGAAAACTGTGGGTGTCATCCTTCCTGACCATATTTTCCTCCATCAAGGATGTGTGCCTATAAAGTTGAAGATGTGGGAGGTGGGTTCAGAATGGTGGAGACACTCTACAGTGGGTCCTTGGTATCCGCTGGGGTTTAATTCCAGGACCTCCCATTGATACCAAAATCTGTGGATGTTCAAGTCCCATTAAATGTAATGGATAGTAAAATGGTGCCCCTTATACAAAATGGCAAAATCAAGGTTTGCTGTTTAGAATTTATTTATGTTTTAAATTTTTTCAACCCATGGACACTTGAATCTGTGGATAAGGAATCTATACTCGGCTAACCGTCTTTGGTTCTTTCAGCCAAAGATGCAGATCCGGTACCAGTTGAGGCACTATCTGAACATTGGACTTAGGGAGTTCTTGGCAGACCTTTATATAAGACAGGATTCTATGCTGCCTTTCTGCCTTTTTGGGCTGCTATGCTCAGGAAATTTGAGTAGAAAAGGTTTAAGTAAGATTAGACAAGATACATGGTCACGTTGATTAGCTCATGTCAAGTCTAATCTAGGAAACTCATTCTTTTCAAGTCAGACCATGGATCCATCTAGCTCAGTATTAACACTGATTGACAGTGGCTCTCCAAGGACTGAGGCAAGAGCCTTACTCAATGCTACTTGGAGATGCTAAGGATCACACCTGGAGTCGCATGCATGCAACGCGTGTGCTCTGCCACTGAGCTATAATTCTTTCCTAGAGGAAAGAGAAGATGTGAGCTTCTATCATTCTCACCCCCTGTGACCATTGTGTGCCTCAAACAGACTTGGCATTATTAACAAAATGCTTTGACCAGGTGACTTAGCTACTGGCTACATAAGACATATTGAACGGTGATGGGGAGAAAAGGTGGGAATCAGATGTTTTCCGCTCAGGCCTCTAGTGTTTATTGAGAGTCAGCATGGTGTAGTGGTTTCAGTATTGACAATGACTCTGGAGACCTGGGTTCAAATCCTTGCTCAGACATGGAAACCCACTGGACGACCTTGAGCAATTCACACTCTCTCAGCCTCAGCAAAGGCAAACTCCTCTGAATAAATCATGCCAATAAAAACATGTGATAAGTTCACTTTAGGGTTGCCATAAGTCATAAACGACTTGGTCACACAACAACTCTAGTATTTACATCCCTACTCAAGGGGTGTAAACTGGATCCCAAGCAGGTCATGGTACTCTATGCAAACACGCTTCTGAGTGGCCTCTTTTTAGCACCAGTCTTTTGACTCATTGGGTTTTTCAGGATGCTCTGCAACAGGTGTTTGGAGGCAGAAGTCCCAGAGAGGCCAGGGATGCATCAGGCCAAGACTGAAATAGCTGGGGGCGGGATATGGGAGCCCTGTGAATGAGCTGTTATGAAACCAGATAGAGCCCAGGCTGTCTGCCTCAGCAGAATCTAGCAAGGCTGTAATCCTCTGTCTGCGCCAGGTATTCCTGCCTCCAAGGAGCCCATGCTAGGCTGCACACATAGACAGCTTCCACTGAGGCTGGAAGGGACTGGGTTAGAGAAAGTGTCTCACAGCCAAAGGAGAGAGGAAGACAAAGCTGCATTCCTGGCTGCATTTCTTGCTTAGTATCCACCCTTTTGCCCAGGCACTGTGGGGTCTGAGGCCATTCTGGAAGGAATACACACACATCCCATGCCACTTAATGGAGAAGGAGAGGCATCCAACAGCTGGATGCTGCTAATGAGGCCTCATTAAGGTAAGGCTGAGCTGGCGCATTCACCACTCTTGTGTGCCTGCTGGGCAGCCGAGGAAAGGGCAAGCCAGCTCTGGATGCAACTTGGAACAAGAGGTCTTGATTATGGTTCAGCCCTATGTCTCAGAGAGTCCTGGTTTCCAGCTGACATGAAGAACAGCAAAGTCAGAACAATGAAAGCTGCTTTAAACCATTGGTCCATCTGACCTAGAGATTTTCCCAGTTCTAACTACAGATGTCAGGGGAATGAAGCTGGGATCTTATGTATACAAAGGATATGTTCTGTCCACAGAGCTAAGCAACCCATAGTGTTACTGGGTAAACCTTAGTGGATTTCCTACAGCTGTTTCTGATGGAGGTTTATCTCTCACTCTGTCCCAGTGCTGTTAATTCTGCAGACCTGCATTCTACTCAATATAATGGAAGGTGTAGCTTAGGTGTAAAGCATACACTTGCGTACAAAAAGTTCCAGCTTAAGTCCTTGGCACCTTCTGCCCAAGTCCCTGTCTGGAAGACCCCAATCTCAACCCCTAGAGAGGCACAGGCAGTCAGTGCAGACAAGATGGACAGTTTGATTTAGTATGGCTACACAGCTTAATTATGTCTTACTTCAATTGGAAATGAATTTAGGGACAGCTTGGTGGGAATGAGCCAGGCTCTTAGAAATTAGGATGCATCAGTGTTTCTCAAGACCAGTCCAACCCTAATCCTTACAGAACAAATGGGATAGGCTGCACACTAGAGGCAAATCCTTATGTAGATCACCCTGATTTTATGTGTTCTCAGCACTGGCACTAGAGTGGCCAAGTGCCTTGCTTTATGTGGGGTAGTCCTCTCTCTCTCTCTCTCTCTCTCTCTCTCTCTCACACACACACACACACACACACACACACACACACACACACAGGCTCTGTGCCCTTAAAATCTAACTTAGGGGCTTTGCAGACTGCCAGAAATATTTCTAGCAGTCTGCAAAGGCCGTTACAGAGCCATAGGAAGGGTAAGAGGAACACTGAAGTTTCCTCAAACTACTAGGCTGAGATGGCACACAGGTAGTAATAATAATAATAATAATTTCTATAATAAATACATATTATAATAAATAAAATAAAATAATAAATAAGGTAAAGTGTTATGAGAGGTAATGTTTTGTTTAATTTACAGTAATTATTTCAAAATTTGCTTTGGTATGTATACATTTGCCAATGCAATTTTTTAATTAAATATTTTTATTAAAGTTTCACAGTACAATAAAATATATAAAAATTACAAGTAGTCAACAAGAAAAAAAGAGCATAGAAAAAAGAATTAATACAAACTAGAAAAGAGTACCGTAAGTAAATTATATAATGGAATAACTATTATAGAAAAGAGACTTCCAACTTTCATTTAGGTGGTTATACATCAAATACTATAAATATATGTGCACACCCCATATCAACTCCTATTCTTTTCACTCTCAAAGCCTACAACTGCCAATACACTATCTTTTATTCTAAAGAAAATCAGTCAGCGGTTTCCAGTATTTTACAAATGTCTGTCCATTTTCCCCTAATAAACAACAGTAAGTCTGTGCAAATTGTATGGAAACATGTGTATTTTGAGGAGGCATTTCTCATTTTTCACCATGTGTGCCCACTCTGCCTTGCTGGGTCCACCTACATTAACTAGAAAATATGTGGGTTTTGCTTATCTCTCTCTGAGCCTCCTGTTCCTTAGTGCAGGGATAAATTATACATTGGGCATTTAACATTGGGGCAAATGGCCTGTCTGTGTGTGTGTGTGTGTGTGTATGTGATTCAGATTAAGGTGTAATTGAGAAGATGTAGATGCTCCATCCCTCAGCACCTCTGCTCTGAGTTTTATCTAAATGCTGAGAGGCCCACTAATGTATCTTCCAAATAATGTTTACTTAAGCTTTGTAATTTAGCACTAGTGGGAACGGGGGGGAAACACAAGTATTAAGATTTCCAAAGAGTAAGAATTCAGGGTGGGGAGAGGTGAGGTAAGGAAGAGAAAGTTGTGAGAAGAAGAGGAGGAGGAAGAGGAGAAAGCAGCAGCATCAGTTAGACAATGTGGCTGGGTATTGAAGGTTGATGGGTACTGGGTAGGGCGGTGCTGGGCACTGGGCAGGCGGGGGCAGCTGTAGTGCTGAAGGAACTGAACTGAAAGTAATGCCAAGTTCATGATCCAGAGACAAGCACATTATTGCCCCAGTAGCAGCAGGCTGGATGTGAAGGAAGCAGCTGACAGCAGAGGCGGCAGCAATAGCAGCACCCCAAGATACCAGGAATGAGCAGCCAAGGGGCCCCCTGCCCCCAAGAGCAGGTCAGTGGGGGAACCTTTCTAAAATCCCAAATAGGGAGGGGAACAGTTTTTCTGATGGGGAGGAAGGACTGCAGATGTCTTATATGCATGGGGCCATAAAGCAGAGCACCCAGGAAGCGGGGGGGGGGGGAACAGAGGACTGCTGCCCCTGTAGCTGCCACAGCAAACTGAGAAAGGGGAGAAGTTAATGCCGGAGGCTCAGTGAAAGCTGGTAACCACCCTCTCTCAAAGCCTCTTTGTGCTGGCTCCCAGGGAGACAGCGGCAAGAGGTGAGGAATTGCCAGGCTCAATGCTGCTCATGCATCTCCTGCCAGGCTGTTTGTCAGAACGGTGGAGAGGCATAAAGCAGTTTGGGGGCTCCAGCACATAAACAGACAGGGGAGGGGCTGCTTGGCTACTGTGCCATGTGCTTCATGAAACCAGCAGGTTGGCATTTCAAGGTTGGATGTGTATATAGGTACAAGAGAACAACTTTCTAGGTGACTACATGTGTATTCCACTCTTGGCAGCTCCCATAAGGTGGCTTCCTTTTCTTGAGGTCTGTAAGCCCTTGCATCCTTGTGAGGCTCCTTGAGTCAGGAAAGTTACTTTATTGGACCACAGCGCTCACAATCCTTCATGCAGCATAACCGTGCTGGCTGACGATTCTGGAAGCAGCGGTGCAAAAAAGTAACTTTTTCCAGGCTCTGGTACTCTCTTCCATCAGCTTTTTTTTTTTCCTTGTGTTGCTTGGAAGGAGGAAGCAACCACAACCATAATGCACATTCCACACTTTTGGATTCATTGTGGTATCCTTACAGTCATGCTTCATGTTTACGTACAGAAGGTATGGAGCCTGTCATGTTCCCTCTTCACCTCTAGAGAGAGACAGAGAACAGCAAAAGTAAATTGTAGGATGGTAGTGGGTTATAAAATGAAATGAATGAATTTATTATAGCAACAGGTCAAGCTGTTCATTCCTGCCAACATTCCTGTACATACTCCTGCAAAAAATGCCTTTTACAAGTTCCTAGAAGTCCTCTACTTCAGAGGCTATTTTTCAGCTCTGCTTTGTGGACACAAGTGTTCCCTCTTCCCAAACCACTTCCCTCATAAAGGTTGGTGGTTTTTACCAATTTGCCTGTTCATCCCCTTAGACAAGTCTGAAGAAGAAAAAGGAAAAGAAGGAGGAAGGATAATTATATGAGTGAACTTTTACTCGATTCCCACTTCTCAACAGCTAGAAGAATCAGAGTATCTTTGAAATTGTGATCATAATGGGTGACCAAGGATCAAGTTGACCAAGGACATCTGGGAATGGAAGTTCCCAAAAGTTACTTGTTCAAGTTCTGATTATGTTGGATGGACTCTACACAAATCTGGTTGAGATGTGCTCAGATCAGTTCTTCTCTTGACCTTGACAAATGCATTCTAAAGATTACCTGTGTGCCATATTATCATCTCCATTTATTATATTTTTGTTTGCATGATAAGAAAAAAAATCAGGAGGTGAAACTTTTCCCAAGATACAATAAGAGGCATTGAGGTGGTGAGGGCTTCTCATGCTGGGTTTTTTTCAGGTCTGAATAACTGTTAAAGGGAAATGAGATGAATGTCCTAAGAGGTGCGTCAAAATCAGATTACGTCTTATTGGTGGTTCCAACTAGTCTAAATCCATTGACACATCATTTAAGGCCAGATTTAATGAGTATAAAGGCTATAAAAAGTGTTCAGACATAGTGCTGGATGAAAATATAGCTGTCCTTTTTGGATCTTGGTAGAATGCAGGAGGACATTCTCCATTTGCATTGCCATCCTTTGGTTCCACTTTACAAATAATAGTGCAGTAGGTTTTCTCAAGAATGAAGGAGATTGTTTGGTGAGCTCTGGAGTAACTGTTGTCTTATACAGACAATCTGTTACTTTACACAGCTTCACCAATTGTCTAAAATGTTTCTGTA